AATATAAATGGTATAGCCTTGGTCTGGAAAAATGCTGAAAGCCTTTTTATAATCTTTATTTTCCCATCTTTCTACTAAAGCAAAGAGATCTGCGAGGCAAATGAAACCATCATGTGCCCTATGTGCGAACGCAATTGCACACTACAAAAACTCAACGAAAGCTGCATATATGCAAAGGTAATTATTAGTTTTGTGCTGCAAGCTGATGCTATCTAAAAGTCAATTCTGTCTGCATAATGGTTGCTGCTGTTACTTCAGCAAAGGCTCCTCTACAATTTGGTGATGCTCTACTAACTTTTCAATGACAAAAATATTTGCAGCCTTTCTACCTAGCATCTATTGTCTTTCAGTTGATAATGAAGCAATCACAGCTGATTCTAAAAATGACTTTCTGAGAGCATTTTCTTCTTACCTCTATTTTTGTCCATCTGAATATGCCCAATGATATAGCAAACTTTTTTTTCTGGTCGGGTTTTCTACCTTCCTATATGATTACGTTCTCACTTTTCTGTTTCCCTGTAGTGTTGATAACTGGATTTCTGTTCTTTTTAAAGGTTTTTTTTTTTTTCCATTATGGAGAAGTATAATGCTCCTGTGGTGTGCCCAACGCAGTGGTCTTATACAGTCAAATCTACAGGAAACTGTCCATCAAACATAAACATTGATTGCTTTTGAATGCAAGCAATATATATAAATGAACACATATATCAGGCTACTTTGGTTTGTATTATATTACCAAGGCTGAAACCAGTCTCAGTTTTTCTTTCTCAAAATTATTCTGCACAATCAAATAATTCTTGTTTAGAACTCAGTATTGTTTACAGAAATTTGAATGGCTCTGTCTTAAAGGCAGAGAAAGAAATTCAGTTTTTAAGGGATTTTGAAATTTGGTTGCATTTCAAATTGGAACTAACCCCAAAAATGTAGAAATTCTCCATGGAAAAAAAAAATTCCAAACAATTTTTTGATCAAAACATTTCATTTCGATTTTTAGTTTACTTTATAACATATACTATAATACACAACAAAAACAATCCAAACAAAAAGTCATTTCAAAATGACAAATCAAAATGTTTAATTTCAAAAATGTGGAAATGGGATGTTTTGATATTGTTGAAGCTTGTTTTTTTCCCCAAAACAAAATTTTAACGAAATCGACTTGATTTCAAGAAGCCTCTTGATTTTAATGGAACTGCCTTTTCTGACAAAAAATGGTCCCATCAAAGTTTTTTTCTGACCAGCTCTAGTAATAATTGTACATAAACTGCATGTAACACCTTTCATCGAATGGACACACAGCATTGTACAAACTGTGCTGTGCTGCCCATCACAGACACATATTCACCTATGGAGTGCAGCTGTTTAACAGCCCACAGCAGCCCTGCCCAGCAGTTGACTGGAAGGGACACTACAATTGCAACTGTAGTAGTTTAAGATCATGTTGTTTTAGGATCCCTGTCCCAGAAGAAATGTTTTCTCTTTCTTATATTTGCTATGAAAGTTGCAGGTTTAGCACTGTAAACATCACACACCCTTGTAAACACTAGCCTGGGAGAGAGAGAGGGAGATGGCATTCCAGGCCTGAGCTGCATGCCACCTACGCACATCAATGGGTGGGGGAAATTGATGGGGCGAGAGGTGAAAGGGGGACAGTGCTAGTAGCAACAGAGGGAGTCACTCTCCTAGGGACAATAGATAACTCCTCCCATAGGAATCTCTGGAACCCATTGGCTGGAGGAGGAGGCGCTGTTTGGCCAGCGTTCCCCAGCTCCCAGGATTTAACCCCATTCAGGGGCCACGTGGAACCTCTTTTGGCTCTGTTCCACCTGCCCACCCTACCCACCAAAACTAGGAATGAGAACCCAACCTGACAGATGCTGTGGATCTAGCTGGTAGCCTGTTAAGGGGGTTAGGAAGAAATTTTTTTTCTCCCATGGGTCAAATTGGCAGAGGATTAGGGATTTTTTTTAACCTTCCTCACACCACGTGCAAGCCACAATGGGTTAAATAGGAACATGCATGGTACCTAACTGCGGTACTGGGGTGGCATTGCTTAAGTGGTGGATCTGAATGCACCAAACTTCACAGTAAAGTTAACAGAGTCCTGGTGATTTTTTACAAGGATTAAAGGAGTGGGATGGAAATTATGCACTTTTCCTTCTCTCACTCTTGCCCCTGGCCCACCATTTCCCTCCTCCTGAGAGGCAGATCCCAGGACCTGCAGAGAACCCTACCCTTGTCTGGGGAGATAGAAGATAATTCTGGGAAGGCGGCTAGCCTGCTTCTTTATGTCATCCCCTCCATGTAGCTTTAAGGAGCACAATTTGGACCATGACATTTCTTTTCATATGTCCCCTTAAGAATAACATAACCAATTAGTACTGGGGAGTTAATTTAAGGAGACAGAATGTAATTATTTAAGGTGTGATTTGGACAGGACCCCAGGGTGCACACTCTTGTTCTTGAAAAAGAGTTCTTGAACAGTCACAGGGAGTCAGCACCTTGGTTTTCTGTTTTTGTCTTGCCTTCAACAGTACGTTGCCCTATAGCACGTGTCCTGACTCACCAGCACTACTTTCTGTACTTCTGACTTCTATGCAGAGGTCTCCAATCAAAAGGCCCAGCCAGCTCAGCCCACCCTGCTTAGCTTTGGGATAAAATCCTAGTTTGATATACTCCTAAGACTACAGGACAAAACTGGTCTGGTCATTCTAAAGAAAATGCATGATCTACAGCCAGAAACCCACCTTCTATTCAAGCAAGATCTTCTGAGCCATAACTCTTTTGGGGTTCCTTTTCCATTTCTTTCGAGAAGTGTATTGTTTACAGATCTCTTTATTGCACAGATTCCCCCAACCCAGCACACATTAAAAATCTGGAGACACTTGTCCATTTTATTGATTTGCAAAATTTTGTAAATCCTGCTGCTTTCGTTTTCCAATCAGATTTTCGGTCTCATAAAATACTTTGCTTGTATGTTCTTTTTATTATAATAAAAGAAAACCAAAGCCAAAGGCGCATTTGCATACAAGTTTCACACAATTATATAATTCACACAAAGAACATATTGGACTTAATGATCTTTGGTATTAAGTAAAAACTTCTCGATTTTCTTCAGCACAGTAAAATAAACAGAGCCCTGTATACTACTAAAACTTGTGTGTTTAATAACTCTACTCAATTTTAGAAGTGTTTGCATTTAAGAGAAAATAAAACATATTGGCAAGCAATACACAGTTTATACTGTTAACTTTTTCTTCTGGATTTATAAATGATGAGGATTTCAAGAGAGTTTTTCTAATATTTAATTATCTTCCCTCTTACAGAATATCCTCTGTCACCTGCTCAGTGTTTATTTTCTAAAAGCAGATGCAATAATGGTGACAGTTTTCATTTGAAAACATGTAGGTTTGTCTGGTTTACAGGACTGGAGTCTGCTACAAAGGACAACCCCAATGACAAGACAAGGCAGCTATGATGTATAATAGTTTTGCTAGAAGGTGTTACATAAACTCCCTTCAGCAGACTGTCAATCCCTTCAATATCCCATAACCCTTGAGACCATCACCTCACAAGCACAGCATTCCTGATGGCCACCAGGAATGCTGTGCTTGTGAGGTGATGGTCTCAAGGGTTATGGGTCTCAAGGATTATACAAGGGTTATACATCATTACTCCAATATAATGTAATGATGTATGTCATCTTTCAAATGACACTTGAAACTGAGGTTCCGGTCACTGATGCTCACCAAACATTTTATAGCATTTTTTCACTAGAATATGTTTCAGCCCATTATCCCTGACCAAATTTAATCACTGGCAATTGCCTACCTAAAATCCCCTTTCAGTAGGAGAAATTATTCTTCACCTGAGCCTCCTCGCCTACTGTGGCTCACACACAGTGACTGCTGGATTTCTACCATGGAAATGCCTATATTTCTATGATGGATAAAATGAACCCTGAACAATACATAGAGGACACCATTTTCAAAATTGGGACAACAAACCCCATTAGGGCACTCAAACTGACACATAGTCAGTCATGTAACAGTTTTCAATTACAATTTATCTACCACCCACCATGAACTTTATCTGAACTTTGCAGATAAAACAGATCTATCCCAAAGAGTTTACACTGTAAGTAGAAAATGGGCAATAGGGTGCAAGAAACAGCAAAAGTGATTGAGAGGTGGAATGTGATGCATACCTTAGTGCTATAATTACTTCATTTTGACGTTAATTTTTGTTAATATCTGGATGGTTTTATTCTTCATTTTGAGAGTGATTAGGATTTATAGACTCTTTAGAAGGGAAGGATATTTTCAAGAGGGGTTTAGAGGGAGAGCATGGAGGCCTAGTGGACCAAGTGAGACAAGGGATTGAAGAATGGAGTTGCAAGGAAGGAAAGGAGAATGAAGGGAATGGTTAGACAAGGAACATTCTTGCGGGAGAGGGAAATAAAGAGATGAAAGTGGGTAGGTAGGCCTGATTTAAGTTGTTCAGGCCCTAAAAGGACAGGACAAGGAGCTTAAATCTGATGCAGCAAGTGAGAGGAAACCAAGGAAAAATTTGAAGACTCGTGGGATGTGGTCAGAATAGCTGGCAAAGTAATTGAGTTTTGAGACAGTATTTTGAACACATTAAAGATGACTGAGGCCAGAGTGGGAATTGCTGTGAAAGATAATTCAGGCCTGGACTAGCAATGGGAATAGTGGGGGATGAATGGAATTCATATCAGCATATAAATGCTGATGCGTGCACCTTTATGTGGGATTAGGGCTTCCTAAAAGGATGCCTATATTTTGAGGTCTAAAACCTGTAAAGAATGTTGGGAGCCTTTTTGGGGGCTGGAGGGGGATACTATATGAATGTAAAGTGGTATTATTATTATATATTTGTTTTGCATTATGTGTTTTACTTTCTGCTTAGGTTACACATTTGTTTGATAATGGAGGGACTGTCTTCTTTGCTATTTTTATGGCAATATGGGGTAAGTCCATTTTCCTTCCTAAGTGTTCTCTTCACCTCTCCCTCTATAGATGACTATTAGTTTTAGAGGGATTTGAAGTTTAATATAATGTTAAGCAAGTAGTATCCATGTTTATTATATTTTTCCTATTTTCATCAAATCAATGTTTGTACTAGTAGGACATTAAAAATACTCCACTACTAATTTATGTTCGGAATGTAATGACTGTAGGAAAAACAAGGCCTTTAATCCGGCAATCTATGTCATGTGTGCAGAGAGGTCCACTCACACAGAGTTAATTGAAGGTTTGGGGCCAAAATTAGTGTAATCCAATTCGGCGCATTGTAAAATTAACAGATTTGAAAGCTTGTAGGCAAAGGCTAATTAAAGTGAGTTAAAGGCAGGTCAGAAGGTTTTGTGTTGACTATTTACAGGACGATTTCATATATTTATTCTTTGAGAGTCTCTCTGCATTCACTGTGACATCATGTTCCACACCAGGAGGCATCAAACAAAGGCTCAGAGGCAACTCTTAAACAGGAGTTACCATTACATAACATTTCTTTGTTCGAAAGAAGGCAGATGCAGTTTTTACAACTGAGGGGTCTGATCCAGTGATCTTTCATTGCAGTCGATAATAAGTTTGCAATGGGAAGTCAGTGGCAACACCAAGATTATTTCAAGATTAGCATGCTGTAACTATCTGAGATAGATGGGTAGATAGTTCTTCCTGTGAAAGTGCTGCATATTTGTACCCTGAGACTTTAACATTGGTCCACACAGAGCACTGCCTCTATTCAAACCAATGCTGTACCATTGTGATGAAGTTAATTGCCACATAGACGCTGTATTTATATAATACACATGAACAGGCATTTCTCACTCTCCCAGCTGCAGCCAGTGCAAAAGTGAAGAGAAGGAGTCTGTGAATTTAACACACTCGTGGCCAGGTTTTCAGCTGATATTTATGGGTGTAGCTCCATTGACTGGGCCCAAAGTGCCCACTCTTAATGACACACATTAAGATCCATAGCAATAAACATGTGTCCCACACTTAATCTTTGAGGCCTCTAAGCATCATGATGTTCTTACTAGTAATATTTTACCTTCCTAAAGCTCTTCTTATGTCTTTAGGCATCTTAGGTGGCTATAAACGGATAAATTATGTTATTATTTTGGATATCTCCCTGATTTTTAGACTTGCTGAATGAGCAAAGATTTTAAACTGGTCTGTGGTTCTCTGTATTCTTTTTACATTTTTTACCCAAAGAGAATTCCTTCCTTCTACGTAGCCCATCCCAAAATATGCTGCATCATTTTTACAGATCCTAACCTGCAATGCAGATAATAGACCAACTGGTGCAGAGGAGGAGGAAGTGTTGACTATTCATTCTTGTGGTCTCCTTTCTGTAGTAATTGTAACTGTATCAGTGTGAGCAAATTCTCTTCATGATAAACAGTAAATCAGTTTGGCCTGGCAAATTGCAAGCTGTAAGTAATGTAATTAAAACCAGTGCCTTATAGTTTTTTCTCTCGGGTAGATGCAAATATCAAGGCGGGGAGGAAATCTCCCGACCCGCAGATCTGATAGAAATGACATTTGAAGAAAGCAGCTTCTCATCAAGATAGTCATTATGGTTATTTTGTCTAGGTGCTAAACTTTCCTTAGAATCCTGGTCATATTTTGCTCCATTGCCTGTTTGCAACCTCGACTGAAGCCAAAGGAAGTTGACTACGTGTAACAAACAGGACTTTGCTCTTTCTGTGCAGTTTGCTAATATTGTTTTTAAAAAGATAGCATAGTGTCTTTTAACACAGAAGCAGATTGAGCATTGAATTTAGTTTAATTACCAATTGGGACAGTGGTGCTCTGGCACAGCAGTGTATGACCAGCATGTGTAAATATATCTTGTGATTTCAGATATGCTATCCAAAGCCTTTCATGTTAATAGCCAAAGGATTATTTCAGGGGGAATAAACTTGCAAAATACTGTGGGAGCAATGTATGTAAAACAAGGTACATAGATCACAAACGAGTTTGTAATCTGAAGCCAGCGGACGTTACCCTCGGACATTATGCTGGGGGTTGAGATGAAGTCATGTCACCCATTGGAATGCCATCATATGGTCTTCCTCCGCTGTTCTGTGCGGCTGGCTTGTTTGTTGTGCTGGGATTGTAGTAAGAGAAATCACCAAAGCTCACATTATGCGATGAATTATCTAATCGGAGAACTGGAAAAATACATCATGATTATTTATAGATTTTTTCAATGGTTCTTATCACTATAGTGTCTGAGTGCTTCAACATTAATAAATTTAGTCTTGCAACATCTGAGGTAGAAAAAAGTTGTTTTCCCCTTTTTACAGACGAGGAACTGAGACAGAGAAAGATTCAGGACCTGATCCAAACTCACTGAACTCTATAAATTGACTTCAGTGGGCTTTGGATGGGGTCCTGGGTGGCTTGCCCACACAAGATGTCTGTAGAAGAGCCAGGAATAGAACCTACATATTCTAATTACCTGTCTGGTGCTTTAGCAACAAGACCATCTTTCCTCTCTTCAGTTAAAAAAGAATAACACCGTTTCACTAAAAATATTGTAGTTAATTTTTTTCACTCAAAGATGAATACTCCAAGTTACTCTAGGACTAGATTGAATCCAAACTGTACCATAAACTATAGTATATTAAATCTCTCCCATATTTCTTTACTGTCAAGAAAATGATCAAAACAGCAAAATGCTGTTCTTCTGAAGATCTGAGTGTAAACATAGAAATATCAGAAAATGTCTGCACATGAATAGTGCCAGTGACTTTACACTGGATTTTTGTTTCTCAACATTTGTGGATCTGTGTTTGTAAAACAGTTGGTGTCCAAAATGTATATTGTACAATATAGGTTCATAATTCTGCCAGAACTGGTCAGTGTTTAACCATCAACTATCATAAACACCTACATGGGTCTTTAATTATGTAATTTCTGTGCCTACAAAGTGCATTACTCGGCTGCACAATTCATTATGGCCCTACTGGCAACATTTTTACAGGACATATACAATAAACCAGCATAGTATCCGCAAAAGAAAATAATGTTACATGTCTCAAACACCAGGCACAATGGGGCTATGGTCTTGATTGGGGTCTCCAGGTGCTACTGTGATATAAATATATATTAATAATAATGGAACAACAGTACATGAATGACCTCTCTGCACATGAAGCAGTGGGGTCCGTTGTCTGGCATGCTGGAAAAAGTGAGTGCCCCTTTAAGGGCTAGAGAGCCAGGGAGTGACTTTCTGCTGCAGTGGCAGACCAGTTCAGCATGGGGACGCTGACCCATCCTCCCACCAGGGGACCAGAAGAGAGGGGAGACTATATAGGTCCATGCAGTGCAGGAAAAGTCCTCTTTTACCCTGGATCAGCACCCACCTATGGAAGTGGTGAAAGATCAGGTTTTGTCAGGACCTGCTGTGGGTATTGTGCTGTTCACTCCTTTCTCGGGGTCTGGGAAGGAATTTTTCCCTCACTGCCAGATTGGCCAATGTTAAGTGTATATGTGGGGGAGAAGGGTTACCTTCCGCACAGTAGGTTCTGGGGGCCTTAGTTGAGGCAAACATGAAACAGGAATTAGGATATGATGTTGCAACTCATTATGTAAATGTCGGACAGATGTCCAGTGCAAGTACTCTGTAGGGAAGGGTATATTGAACAGATAAAATAGATTGGTAAAGGATTTAAAGGAGGTATTATTTAAAGGAGCAGAAATATTTTGGGTGGGGGGGAAATTCAGGGCTCCTGTGACTGTTATGGCAGGGAACCAACCCCCTATCCTTTATAGCCCACCCTTTAATCCTCCTTTGGGGTTGCGGGGGATGGTGAGGCTCCAGCAACAGATTGGCTGGTCCCCAGCATGGGTAAGGGGAAGAGCTGATGGAAGCTGCTCAGGTATATATTTAACTGATTATGGAATTACCTGCTCTGTACACTTGTATCTGCCAGATACTCCCAGGCATTTAAGAATAAAATTGCGGCTTAATTAAACAACATTCCAGTATCTCCTGCCCTACTTCCATTATAGCCGGACAATGGCATTGTTTTCTGAATTATGGTTCAACACATTAAGAATTACATTCTTATGTACATCTATGTGGGAGAGAGAGATTTTAAAAATAGAGTAAAAGAAATTTAATTCACTTCCCCGGCCTATTTTGATTGTGGGAACTCTCATTTGTGTACTATTGTGGAAAGAGTGGTGGTGTGCACATACAGGTGTGTTCACAAATTTCTAGATAAATTACACATTAGCTTCCTGTTTAAGAAAAAAGTATACACTGTAATAAAAAAAATCAAAACGACAATAATCTCAGTACAACATGTTTCAACATGTGGAAAAAATGTTCCGGAGGTGTTTGATCACTGGCAACTATGCATTAATAATTATGCATAGGCCATATTTTATTAAACACTATAACCTATTGTCTATAAGAGAAACTGCTGAAAATGTGCTTGGCTATGTTCAATATAAGTCATTTATATCTGTTTTGAAATGTTGTCTTGTGGTTGTTTTTATTGATTCTGTGAGGCAATGAAGATTGAAAAGCTCTTAGTCTACACTAGACCGAGAAGTATAACAGATGAATGTGTTGAGTGCTAGACTCTTAACTTGTGAGGTATATGTATGCCTGGCTCATTTCAAAATAATTACAAGAATTTAAAATCAAGGCAGCTCAATAAAATGGATCACTACAGTGAAATTCTGCCTTCAGCCTCAAAGCTGCAGCTGTCACAAAAGCAAACCTAAAGACAGAAAATGCCTATTAAAGTGCTGAGTTGGACAGTTGATTTATTTCTCTCCCTTAAAGCTACTCATACAGTATCTGATACCTACTTGTGCTTTGTGAGGTTTGGTTAGTTGGTTTTGGGTTTTTTAATCTTTGTCTGGATTTTACACTTTGAATCCATAAATACAAATTTGCACATCTTTGGAAACTTTCATCGTTATTCCAGCTAACATGGGTTTTGCTAGTGATGAGGATGGAGGATTTTTTATAAACCACTCTCCAAAGTAGATAGTCTTAAGGCAGTCTGATCGCTGTTTGCAATTTTTTTCAAAAGCATTTTTAACAGTTATGCGACTTTTAGCGACAATGCTGGCAAAACCATGGTTCTGATACCACAACCCAGATCCAACCAGTAGGACTTTTGCAGTCATGCACAGCTCCATTATCCACAAGGGTGCAGTTCAAATTACAGGATCAAAGCCAATGTTAACAGAAACTGGTTTTTAAACAACAAAAAATGACACAATTAAAATACAGACATGGCCTAACTGTGTTGCAGTGTTTTATGCTAGTGGTGTTCTACAGTACATATTGTAGTTGATATATCTTATTAATATTCTCCTTTGATTACAATTTTACCTTGATATCTCAATACTATTCTGTGTAACCCATGTTATTTTGTGAGCATGGATATTTTTGCACACTGAAGTTCTGAAAACACATGAAAGGTACCTTCCTGGATTTATTTATGGGGGAATTTGCAGATAACCCATTGGCTTAATGATGCTGATTGACAATGACTGCTGTTCATTCAACTCAGTAGTTGTACAAATTCCACTTAGTATGAACTTATTCAGCTGTTGCATGTTGTTTAACTACTTTGTATATATTAAATGGTATCAAAGTCTAAAGGGACTATCTTCATTGTACAGTTAAACCTGGATTTTAGCCCAAACTTCCCTACCATCCACACAGAAAAACCTGTAACATTGGGTTGGAGGTGCTGCATGCACCCACATGCTGGTATGGGTTAGTGCCCAAGTTCTTTTTTAACTTGGGCTGGAACCCAGCAACTGCCACGAGGACATAGGCAAAACCATTTCAGTGCTGATAGTCTTCCAGTGCTGATGTACTTTAAAACCATTTGCCAAACTGGCTTGTACACTCTAAATAAAAAAAAATAGCAGTGAAATCCTAGCTCTATTGAAGTCAATATCAAAATTCCCATTGACTTCAGTGGGGCAAAAAATTCACCTCAAGAGTTCTGTGCAGAATAGGAAAGTCCTTCTACTCCCAGAACATTTGTGATATTCTTTACCTGGTTCACTCCTTGTGTCATCATAAAGTCGCTGATGGGAAAATGAGCCAGACTTTCTCTTCCCACATATAAAGTACCCAATCAGACCAATTAATGCAGATCCTAAAATGGCTCCTACAATCGCACCAAACACTACTCCTGCACTGTGGTGATTCTCTAGGAGAGGGAAAAAGGATAACAAAATTATTCTAATGAAAATTTATAAATCTATAGGGCCAGATCCTCAGCTGACATTTTACACGAGTTGAGAATCTGGCCCACTGTGACATATTTCACTTTACAGACAATAATAGTTAAGTCAGCCCCTCAACAATCCCATGAGGCAAGGAAGTATTACTCTCTCTTATTTACAAACGTGGCACGAAACGTTTTAGTATAACTTTTCCCAGTCAAGCAAGTATTTGACCAACAGCTGTGAACAGAATCCCCGAGTTGTGGTTCCCAGCCACCCGCTCTGACCACAAGGCCTTGCACTGTCTTCTGATAAAATCGCTTTAATATTACAGTTGTAAGTATTTAGACTAAACTATAAAGAGAGCCTGTGATTTTAGGTGCCTCTGGTTTTGGGTGCCCAATTTTTCAGACACTTTGTTAGGCATCCAAAATCAGAAACCTAGAAAGTGTTAGCTCTAACCTTTTTAGTTTTTCAGGTAGCAAAATTATTTTTTTCTCCCCAACATTTTTCTTGGGTTTTATAAAACTTTTCTTTGCATTTTCACCTCTTTTTTTGAATGCCCTCTTTCAGAGTCACTTTAGGCAAAAAGTCCTGATACATTGTAACTATTAGAGCTATAGAGAGAAGCTTGAAAACATGAAGATAGCCTCCAGTTCTTAGTGTAAACTACTGTATATGCTGGAGAAGCATTTCTGTCCCGTGTTAAAAGCCTGCAGGCAAATTAATGGTATAAAAATACTGTGTCTTCAAATCTTCCTTTCTCATTCACTGAAGCCCCAATCCGAAAGAGCAGAATAGAGAAATGCTATTTTTGGTTTTATGCTATATTGTTTTCCCAGGCTTAACCAAATTGATAGTAATAAAATACAAGACGGGCAATCCATTTGGGCATTATTTATAAATTGAAGGCATTAGTTACAAAAGTGTTCTGCACTCTGTGTGTCCTTCATGCTTAAGAAATGATTGATTTGTTGCTTTAAATGCTTTGAGCATGGGGATCTATTTCATATATGCAGAAGTTGAAAGGATGGGGAGGGAAAGTTTGCACATTCACTGAACCAAAGCAGAGCTGCATTACATTTCCTATGAAAATAGATAAATAGATAAGCAGAAATTAATATAAAGCAAAACTCAGAAACTCAGTGTGTTGGGGCTACTCCAGACTGATGCAGCAGATAAAACAAAACATTTTCAATGATTTCCAGTGGACCATTCCCTATAAATAGATCCAATTTGAATGATACTCTCACTGAAGCAGTCTGCTGGGAATATTCCCATTATAGTATCTATATATCAATATAGTTCAGAAACAAGAAATTTTTCAGTATGCCAGTTCACAAATACCATACACTGGCCTGGGGCTTCAGGAGACCTCAGATTAATTCATGTCTCTGCCACAGACTTCCTATGTGACCTTTGACAGGTAACTCAGAGTATCATTTTCCAGAGTACCTAAGAGACTTTCAGTGGATCTTAAGCTCCGAAACCACTTGAAAATGTGCCTCAGTTCCCCATGTGTAAAATGGAGATAATAGTGTTTTCCTTTCTCCTCCCCTTCACCAGTTTTGGTTGTTTATTTAGATTGTAAGGAGTTTGGTGCTGAGAATATTTCTCACAATGTATATGGGCAATCGTTACCATAGTCTGGCTATGATCTTGGTAGAAGATCTAGATTTTACTGTAATACAAATAATACAAACTTTGTTACTTCTTTCTAGCCCTCCGCCACTAAATGATCTCCTCAACAGTGCTGCTAAATACCAGATGGAATCTGGCAATGCAGTTCAAAATAGCTGCATGGCAGCCCAGGATCTGTCCCTTCCTGTTGCAATTGAAATAAATAAATAAATATTTCTGCCTGTGGTCCCAGAAATGCAGAAAATTATATATGGTAAAAGTTACCTAAGTTTTTTTGAATTTCAACAAACTTTCAGGTGAGGTCTAGTTTTATCTGAAGCAGTTCACACATCTTTACAGCTTCCCAGACAATGTAAACATTTTAGTGTTCAGCATCATTACGCCGTTGAACCTTTTTTTACTGTAGTTAAACCTTTACCTTTGTTATGTTCTTTCGGATTTGATGGGACGGTAGAATGGTTGGTGAAATTCTGGTGTGCGTTTTTTGTAGTCTGTGAAATTGTTTTGAAGTCTGTTGTGACACTGCCACTGTGGTGTGTGGATAATGTGGTCAGTCTATTTGGTGGACTGTTGGTAGATGAGACTTCTGTGGGGCTCTTTAGAAAGTCTTTGGTGGAGATTGTTGCAGTAGAACTGGTCTTATAGGTGACTGAAGTGAAGCTTTTGGCTTCCGTTTTCGATGATACACCAGCATTTGTAGGCATGTTGCTTTCAGTCGCTGTAGAAAAGTCACTCATGGTTATGGATAGTGTCGAAGATGGTGAGATTCTGTTGACATTTTTGGCAGAGGTATTTGTTGAACCCTTATCCACGTTTGAAGTCAAAAATAACCCTGTGCCATTAATGGATCTTTGAGCTACACTGTTGCTTTGAGTGTTACTCTCTATTACTGTACTTTTTGTTGCATTTTTATTGGCCGTTGTTGGTGCAACATGGCTTATAGCAGGAGTTATTCCATTAGTTCCAGTAAGACCTAGCTGATGTGAAGTTCCTTGGTGTGAAGGTGGAGTCGTATCTGTAGTTGAATTATTGTCAGTGTTTGTTGTACTGACTGTACTACTGTGACCATTGCTTCTGGTCCACCCTAAACTAACCGGCAGCAAAATAAAAAGAATTCCACTGGAAGGCAGCATGGTATTGGCTTTGTGGTTTGTTTCTTTATGTAGAGAACCTGAAAGAAGTGAACAGTTTTGTGATTTAATTTATTATGTGAAACTGAGAGCTGGACAATGAAGACCCAGACATGTTGATGAAAACTTACAGCGGCTTGATACTAGAGAAATGAAGTCATGGAGGTTCCTAAAGGTATATCTACACTGCAGTTAAACAGCTGTGGCTGGCCTGTGTCAGCTGAGTCAGGCTTGGGCTGAGGGGACTGTAAAATTGTGGTGTAGGCATTCAGACCCAGGGCTTTGTGACAGGGGAGGGTCCTAGAGCCTGGGCTGTAGCCCAGGCGCAAACATCTACACCATGGTTTTACAGCCTGAGTCCCATGAGCCTAACTCAGCTAACACCAGCCAGCTGTGGGTGTTTAATTGCAATGTAGACATATTTGAAGGTTTGCATGTTGAGAACTTAACACTCCTTAACTTAACACTACTTAACATAGTAGTAATATTCTCTCAAAGCATTACTATTGAGCAACAAAGCTTTTTGAATGCTTCCATAGGCAAAGCTGCATACTCCCCTCCATTCTACAGCTCACAGTCTGTAACAACTTGCTATTACGTGTATCCAAGAACCCCTTGCACCAAGACCCATGCCTAAAAGGACATGCTTCCGCAATTGATGCTTTCTGGTCAGAGGGTAGCACCCAGCAATATGTGAGTAATAGGGGTGTGGCAAAGCTGAAGAGCTAAGTAACAGAGTGTGTTCCCATGCAAAGTGGTGTAATTGTTGTTGCAATTAGCCTTTGAAGGTCATGATTTGCCTTACATGTTTTGTGACCTTGAGGGGGAGACCATCACAGGAATACAGCTGCTGCCAGGGGATTCATAACAGCTCAGCAGCTAAGCCAGCCCATGGAATTAGCGGAGGTGCATTTCTGCTTCAGAACCAAACACCAACACCAAAGCAGTGCAGTCTGCCCTGATTTGCAAATGTGCAACCAAGGATCAGCAAGAATTCTGATCCCCAGTCTCTTGGATCTTTAGACAGACATATTGCCATATACTTATCTAGCTTTCAAGAGTAGTGACAGCTTGAGGCTTATGCATGTTTTGTTGCCTATAGGGAGGAGACATGCTGCCTAGAGGCAGTAACCTGGCTCTTTCCCCTTTCACCCTTCAGCGCCACTGTCTGGACCATTTTCCTTTTCTAACTGTGGGTTTTTCCACAGCTTTGCTCCTCTCTGCACAGCAGGGGAGAGGGATGAGTATAGGGACTCTAACAGTAGCCACTGGAGTAAGCCAGCTTGTCTCTGTGTCACCCTCCCTACAGAGACTTCTGTCCTTTGACAGATGATATGGTTCAGTTTCAGCTATTAGTCAATAAACCTGACATTAGGTCTGATCCTGCTCCCATTGCAGTCAGTGACTGAACTCCCATTGACTTCAGTGGGAACAAGATGTAGGGCCCAGGAGTGGAATCGGTATGTATGTATATTTGTGGGATTCAGCTTTCAGCAATCTGTTTATAAATATTGTTTCCATGTTGGTAAATTGATTAGTCTCCCAATATAGGGTGGTCATCTGCCAGGTGGGATTAATATTCCTTAATTATTCACCTAAAAATAAAAGACTAAAAACTTTGTTTTTATTATTATTTTACATAAATAAATATTGCAACTTTCAGCTTAGAGCTAATCTTTGTGTCTGGAGTCCCAGATCTGTAACTGAACAGTCAACTCACACAACTATATTAATGAAAGTTGCTTTGTTTTCACCTTACCCGGGTATAGGGACATTTTTCCAATATGAGGAGTAATTACAGAAAAGTGTAGCAAACAAAACTTTAAATGAGCTTTTATTAAACTTTCAGATATTTGCTTTCATCTTGAAAGTACCATTGTTTTAGCTCACTGGCATGACTCTTTTTTCCCTTGTATCAGTAGCCATGTCATTACTGAACAAAGTGAGTTTTGTCAGATTTCTTATTTCACCTTGACTGTAATTTGAAACTACCAAGGGAAATTACTAACAGTTCACTTTAACTGCACCTTTTGTTTCTCTCTCATAATGCTAAAGAGTCAGCATCCCCACTGAACAATGTGGTTTTCATGATTTCCTTAATCCTGTATTTTTTTTTTTCCTGGGGGACAAAAAGGGAGAAAACTCCTTGCCACAAAGATTTTTTTACAGTAGTTCTAAGGCTATATTTAGGTTGTATTTCTTGGAAACCCTTGGTGTCTAATAATTAACTGGTCTTGTATTAGTGTAGCATTAAGATTCAGATCAGAAACAACACAACAGCCCTGGAAAGCCACCTGTTGCCCTTAGAGCTTAACATGCAAACAGTGGTATTATAGGACAACTGCAAATATTGCAGCTCCAGCACCTTGGACTAGCCAGAAGATTAGCCAGAATCTAAAGAATTTTCCAGTTAGCTTGAGCAACTAATTATAAAATATTTTTTAAAAGGAGAAATAATCTGATATGATGATTCTGATCTTGCTGGCACCTGTAAGTAACTACACTGAAATCACTTTGAAGTCAGACTGAGGTCAAAGCTGTGTAAATGAATTTTGAATCACCCTCTCTGACTTAGACTCTTCCCTCATTATGGCCCCAATCCTGCACTGACGTGTGCATGCCCTGTCTTAGTGTGGAGCCCTACTAAAGTCAGGCACAGGAGTCCTTCTGCAGGCATCTCGTTACAGGATCAGGGCATATAGATGGAGCTACATACAGATCCCTGAACAACCATTTGACATCGGTAGCTTATCACTTTGGACTTGAGTACAATTTTGAACTAGGTTTGGGCTTATCACATATTTTTACTAGGGTTTTTTTTTTGTTTTTGTTGGTTTTTTTGTTTGTTTGTTTGTTTTTTGCTTAAAACTGAATACCCAGGAGAAGGGTTAGTGAAAATCCTTGTCACTCTGTGGTTAATGACAGTTAACGCACTGACTTTATTATATTGATCTTTTGGGGCAGTATTCATACTGTATATGGTTCCTCCTGTACATTCATATGTGTGCATATGTGCATACACACAGTGAAATCCTGGCCTCGTAGAAGTCAATGGCAAAACTCCTCGAGTATGTCTACACTGCAGATGCAACCATGCCTCCTAGCCCAGGTAGACAGTCTCAGGTTGGGGGCTCTGCTTCCGCTAGGATGTAAAAATAGCAGTGTGACCATGAAAGCATGGGTGGTGTCTTGAGCTAGCCATTCGAGCTCAAATTTTGGGTTTTGGGCAGCCCCCGTTTCTATTTTTAGCACATCAGATCAAGTAGAGCTATGATGATTCTTTCTACCCAGTCTGGGAGGCATCCTCCCAGCTGCAGTGTGGACATACTCCTCTTGACTTCAGTGGGATCAGGATTTCAGCCACGGTCTTTATGGTAAAGACTGCATCACTTTTATCATCTGAATTGCATTTCCTCATTCTCTTTCTGATTTGAGTATCTCTGCAGTTATTGAATTATGTCCAGTTGTACATGGAGGAAAAAGGGTTAGTGAATGCTGAAGAGGAATTTTGTTTATATTAAAAGGGCATTCAAAATGATTTTCTTAAACGATTTCGAAAACCACACTTATTTTTGGCTTAATATATGGAGAGATTTGCAGACAGAACTGCCATTGGCCGATGACAGAAGTTATACGTGCATCAAGAGAAGAATAGCGGTCACTGAATTATTTTCTTATGGGACAGTGACGTGATCTTCACAACTACAAATTCGAGGTCTTTTTTTCAAAGTGTTAATTAATAGAGCTTTACTCCATCTTTTACACACTAGTATTTGATACTCGCAAAACAGAGTGAACAAATGTAAAATTAAATATATGTAGAATATCTTCTTCTGAAATTCAAAAAATATGTATTTGAAACTGATACTCTGGGGAATACATTGGATGGTTGTGCTCATGTCTGTTTCCTGGATAAATCAGACTGTTTTCCAAGGATAACATGCTGTTAAACTCAGCGAACAAATGACTAAAACCTCTTGTTTTCTTTATTTTGCTTTGTTGTTTATTTTGGGGGCGAGGGCATGAAGGTTTGTTTTTTGCTAAGTATTTTAAAATTATTTTTTGCAATGCTTGCATTCCAAAAACAAAATGTATTTTTTAATTCAGTTATCCTGTTGCCTCTCTGAATAGCTGGCAACTAGATCAGTATTCACTTTCCTATATACTCTCAGTATAGGTACATACACTCAAAATATGCAATTATAATCTAGCAACACTTCTCCTTACAGCAAATCAGCATACTGGGTTTCTTCTAAGCATATACAAAGTTCCACAGGAATAATTTAAATTGGGGGAGGGGGGAGGAATGATTGATGTTGATTCCTAGACTGAGTTCATTAAGAGCAAATCCTAAACATACTTGCAAAAATCACTTCTTAAAAGTGCAGGAAAAGCAATTATCCGCAAACTTTAAATTACAGTGAAATATTTTCATCTTCTCTTTATGGTTCTTACATCTCTGCCTAGCTTTGCTGTTAAATCCTGGAATTACTGGCCCAAGTTAATTTGTCTATAAATGTTTTTCCTTATAGGGGTAGTTTTGCTGTGAGTTTGGTTACCCAGTCCCTACTTTCACCCAAATATCTTGTCAAAAAATCAATGCTGCAGTGATTACTTAGCCAAATTCATTAACAAAAATAGACTTACCTTTTAGCTCTACAGTATATTCAGGTAGGTTTGAAATACTGCTGTGGCACAGAGTGCAATTAGTCTAGTGAACACAGGTACTGTAAGTGCGACAGTGTCACACTCATTGGGAATGCACTGTAGAAACTTAACTAGGTGGGGCTATATTTCCCTGGGTGTAATAGAACACCTGAGAACCAGACTGACCTGCTTCTTCGTTGTCTTTGTTAAGAGCTACCATTACAGAGTTCACAGAAATTACAGGTTTCATTGTAAAGTGGGTAGACAAGTGCCCATTGATTCTGTGATGATTACAAAATCTTTACACTGATGTTTCAACAAGTGTATCAAATTCCTATAAACTGTATGTAGTATTCGTCTTCTCTTAATTAGACAGCAGCCATTTTAATAAAGAACACTTGTAGTTTTCTGTGAGACACACTTTGTTACGGTACATGTATAGTCAACTTGCCAGAGGATGTTGTGAAGGCCAAGACTATAACAGGGTTCAAAAAAGAACTAGATAAATTCATGGAGGATAGGTCCATCAATGGCTATTAGCCAGGATGGCAGGGATGGTGTCCCTAGCCTTTGTTTGCCAGAAGCTGGGAATGAGCAACAGAGGATGGATCACTTGATGATTACCCGTTCTGTTCATTCCCTCTGAAGGACCTGGCATTGGCCACTGTCAGAAGACAGGATACTGGGCTAGATGGACCTTTGGTCTCACCCAGTATGGCTGTTCTTAGGGTTTGAAGAGAAGTGTTTGTAGAAGATGTATAGGCAAAAGTTAATTATACTATGGCATACTCTTAATATACATCAACTTTCTACTATGTTTGTGTACATATATATATGTACATGCCGTTAGGCATTAGCCCAAGCCCCTGGGTCCAATTACCCTCCTAATTTGAAGGGATTTGAAAAGCAGATTTAGATCCAAATTTGGTAAATCAAACCGTAAACCCAGATTTTGGGGGGGAAATAATAATCAGATCCAGATCTGAATCTTGCATATCAGTCCCTTCTTTACATGCTGTATATAATCTTGGGGGTGGATTTAGAGTAAATGGGGGTTGGGGAAGGCAAACATGCACAGTTTAATTTTTTACATTCTGAAGTAGTCAGGACTACTTGCTCCTGTAATTATATTTTTTTATTTATTCTAGACTGGTATGTGTTGGAGAGGGACACAAAGGTGTTCCAGTCATATCTGAATAACTCCATGAGTGGAATACCATGGCACTTTTGTTTCCACTTGAAATTTTTGAAAGAATCAAGTGCAAGCTACTATTTCATGCCTTTCTCCAGTGTCATTATTTGTATATTAGTGATAGCTCTTGTTTGCACTAGATATAAGCCCTATGCAGACACTCCTGCACCCATATGGAACCCTCCTGAAGCCAGTGTGGCTCCTCACAGGTGCATCGGTCAGTCCATACAATGCTAATTGCAGATTTGGGACCTAATTTTAATTTAATCCCATAGCTACCTGCAGTAGCAATGTTGGGAGCTCTACTGTAGGCAAGTCTCTAACAGTTTGCTACTATTTTAACTACTGTATCCTCTAGACAGGTTCTGAACAGGGTTAAATAACAAGATAGGTTAAAACACGATCAGCCAACCTACATTAGCACTCTCATCACTGCAACAACTCGTGGAGCTGCACCAGTGGAAATTGATGGTCTACTAATAATCTACTCTTATATATCAGGAAATATTTCTAGCTTGTTGAAAGCAAGTTGTAACTAATCTTAGGCAATAAATTTATTATTACACATGAAAGTAAACTACATGTAGTTCACAGAAGTAATTATAGTGCCTACATAGTGCATTTTGATTGCCTGTGATTGTGATGAGATTTCTTTTAAAAACCAACTCTTTTGTTCATTTAAAGATTCTACTGCTAATGAAAATACTTATCTTAAGCCATGAGAACAACCACTAAGTAGATATGAGGGACACAGAACTTCCACTCTCAAGTCTTTATTGCCCTGTTATTGTCCCTTCATTGTGGCTATAAGACTCGTACACATTCATTTCTAGTTTCCCATACATGTGATTTTCATGTTGTTTCACCTCTGTATTGAAGCAGCAGTTCATGATGAGAAATACATTAACGTCTATATCTCACTAAAATGAGTTATGTAGATACTTGCAATTCCTTCTTCCACACAGCATAAAAGGTGGAAGGGAAAGAGCAATAATCACACACAGAAATGGGACTAAAGGTGCAATGGGAAGGGGAAGAGTGGCAATATGGTATAATCAAGCCACTAGCAAAAAATAGACACTGACTTCATACAAGAAAAGGGGATATTGACTGGTGGTAGCAATTGTGAGGATTAAAATACCCTTGTAGCCTGAGGGAAACTAGAGGCCATAGTAATTTACTCTCTAGGAGTGTGTAAAGTCATTGAAAACTGCAAATTATTACCAAGTTACATATGACAGGTTAGTAATGTGCCCAGTTAATTGCTGGTGTAACTTCAGACTTAAAGTCTTCCATCTTGAGGTCTATAAAATCATGAATGATATGGAGAAAGTGAATAAATAAGTGTTATTTATCCCTTCACATAACACAAGAACCAGTGGTCACCCAATGAAATTAATAGGTAGCATACAGAAGTACTTAAACATAAGAAGCAAACATAAGGAACAACAAACAAGAAGAAGTACTTCTTCACACAGTGCACAGTCAACCTATAGAACTCATTGCCAGGGGATGCCAAAAGTAAATCTGGGTTCAAAAAAGAATTAGATAAATTCATGGAGGGGATGCTAAGATTAGGAGAACAGTGAAACCTTTTGTCAAACAAGAACAGTTTGGCTTTAGGAAAGGACAAGGAACCACAGATGCCATGTTTCTATTAGCCAAGGTGGTCAGGGTTGCAGCCCCATGCTCTGTGTGTCCCTAGGCCTCTGACTGCTAGAAGCTGGGACTGAACGACCGTGGATGGATCACTCAATAATTGCCTTGTTCTGTTTGTTCCCTCTGAAACATTTGGCATTCATCACTGTCGGAAGACAGGATACAGGGCTAGATGGACCATTAGTCTGACCCGGTAGGGCCATTCTTATGTTCAGTGGAGTTATACCAGAGATAAAATTAGCCTAGTTAATACACTTAGTAGTTCTTTTGGTTCATTGCTAATCAACTGATAATGGGAGCTGTAGTGTATCACCAATCATTCAGGTGATAGGAGAAACCCACTTTATAGGAAGGAAACTTATTTTATATTGACAGCTGGAAAATACATTATTCAGTAATGCAGTGGTTCTCACACTGTGGTTTACGGACTCTCTGGTACTCTGGAGAGCCTTTTCTAGGAGTCTGCAAAAGGAAACATTTTAAGTGACAGGTTGTGGTAGAAAGAAGTGTTGCCTGGGGGAAAGAGGTGTTGCCATCGTCCCTAAAAAGGGGGGTGGGGGGCTGAGTGTGTGTGTGTGTGTGTGTCTGTCTGTCTGTCTGTCTCTCATATGAAGAACTCAATCCAGTGGAGAAGTGAAAGAACTCCTGTAGAGGTATATTAGTAATCCAGGGGCAGGATAGGCATCTTTTAGTCAGAGTGAGGTGAAATCCAGGAGTGCTACGTGTATAGTGAAGTTCTCTGCAGTGTGAGCAAGGGTGGCAGAATCTGAGCCCAAATGTTTATTTCACTGGATTCTAACGTTATCAACCAAATTGAGACTCAGAAAGGATATGTTATGTAACATGTACAATCTCTTAACACACTTCCTTTAAAATAAGATTAATAATAACTTTCTCTCACACACACACTGTAACAGTCAACTTGCAGTGTTGGTTTTTATTGCTTGGCTTTACCACATCAGGGTTCTGCCCCCTATTCATAGGGTTACCTAAATAAGTCATTGGGTGCAATTTTCAAAAGGGCCTAAGTGTCTTGGAGCCCAAGTCCAGTTGCAACCAGTGGAAATTAAGTGTTTAAGTTACTTAGGCCATTTTGAAAATACCATCCACTATGACTTTTAGGGTCTTGAACTCTGAGTCCTTGTCTGTGTAGACTGATGTGTTTTTTCACAAAAGATTCAACACTTAATTTTAAAAATGATAACATTAGAATCTTTTTTTACCCATTTTCCAGTGTCCCATTTCAGAACACAGCACTCAAGATGAGTCATTGCCCATTTCTCCCCCTTTAAAAGTGAAAATCTTTTAGTATGTGTAAAGTCATATTAAAATAGAATCACTAACCTTTCTACACAATCAACCTTTTCTGCTCAAACACCTATAGCCACCATCCTTTTTCTGTTGTGAGTAATTAAGCATTGTGTAAGACACTTTTTAAAGGCTTTGATTAATCATCAAATAAATTGGATCACTGACAGACTGAAAGCCATCCACACCTCCCAGAGTGAGTAATAGGTGGGCCTGTGCCAACAGTATGTGTCACACATGAAGCCAACTCTGGCAAGCAGTGCCTTCTGGCACTCATAGTTTTAGTTCTTCCTCCTCCTTCTCCCTTTGTCTCATCATCTGGAGTCAGGTTGTCATGCAAGCATCCACCATCATCTTCTGGCTGAGGAAGCAATAAGGTCCACCTGCTTCCCCTCTCCTTTGATGCAATCCATCCATCGCTTCCTTGACTTTTCTTGGGCTCTCTTTCCTACCGCCCACTCCTATCATGCTATCCTCACCAGGTCCTTTTCATTCATGCTCTGTATGTGACTGAACCAGCAAAGTTGCATTTCCTAGATTTTGTCAGCCACATCACACTTCAATTTCCATCCTAATGCTTTATTTTAAAATCTCTCTCTTTATTCACTCTTTTGATTGCACGCAGACATCTCATCTCGAACACCTGTTGGACCTGAATCTGTTGTTTCCTTACCATTGTCCCTCTGGACTACAAGTGCGAGAATGACAGATGTGGTGAAAATCTTGGGCCAGAGAGACATAAAATGGATGAGCACAGTGGTTACAGCAATATAGCATGACAAAAATATTCCTGAAGGCTGGTGCGACTCTATTTGTACGGTGGGCAGCAATAAATTCTGGAAAGGGGGCAACGATATAAAAGTGCTTTTCTTATTTATAAGGCAGAAACCAGGGGAAAGGCAAAACATAAGTGTGGTTCAATACTGTA